GAGGACGGAACCAAAAGCCCCAGGGCTCCAGCTTCCCTGCGAGGCCTGGCTTGTGGCGTGCAAGTGACAGGGGCTTGGTCGCGCTCCGCAGGGAGCCGCTCAGGAGTGGCGAGGAAGGCTGTGGAGCTGTGCGGCCCTCCCCTTGAGCCCTGCCCTGGGGGCCGGACCCTCGCTGTGTGTGGGGTGGACGGACAAGGATAGCTGGGGGAGCTAGCATGCCTGGGGAAACCTTAGCCAGCTGACGGCCACCGCCAAGGCGCAGGGGGAGGGAGTCCTCCACCCAGGGCTGGCCTGTCACTCGACATCCCAGGGGTACAGGCTCCCCACGACCCAGAGCAGGTGCAGCCCTGGGACAGCGTGCAAACAGCCACGTACTGCCCTCTCACTTGCATGCAGGGACCCAGGCTGGGCTGGTCATGTATGTGTCCCAGCCCTGGTGCTGTGCAGCCTCGGTGCGAGGGCAGGCGCTGGGGCTGGGGCTGGTTGGGATGGGGGCTGATGGGGCAGCAGGGGGAAGCTGGGAGCCCGGGGACAACTATTTATAAACTAGCCTTTTCCTTCGGAAGACTTCCGAGTTCATCTCCCCCCCCAGCACCAGCCGGAAAAAGGCCCCATTGTCTTGGCGCCAGATGGGCCAGGGCCAGGCACTCGCCCACACAATGGGGCGGATTATGCGCCCGGCCGGTGGGGGTCCAGCAGGCAGCAGGATGCCCGGGAGGAGCAGCTGCCGCCAGCACCCGTGCAGCAGCCCCGCGGCATGGGCTGCCCCGCGGCATGGGCTGCCCCGTGGCATGGGCTGCTGGGCCGAGAGGGAGGCAGGCGGGGGTCCCGGCCGCACTCATTTGTCGCCTCTGCTAAAACCATGGCTCTCATCCCATGGGTCCCTGGAGGAACGGACGGGAGGAACGCCCCAACCCTGCACTCCATGTTACCCAGCTTTCCTGCCTCGCTGCGGTGTCACTGAGTGGCGCGCTCCTCACAGCCAAGGAAGGGAGGAGAAGCCAGCACAGGGGCCCAGCATCACCCCAAGCGCTTGCCTGTGGCCCCAGGTGGTGAAGTCTTCATCCCGGCTTTGTCTGCAGGTCTTGGGGCTTCCTCGGGACAGCTCATTAGGAGCAACTGCAAGAAAGCATAATGAGAGATTAGTCCCAGGCAGGTGGTGAGGCCAGCCCCAGCTTTGGGGGAGCCCCTCTCGCACCCATGAGCTGTGGAGGATCCCTTTGGAGGGCCTTGGGGAAGGCTCCCTGCTGCTGTGAGGGCACAGGGAGTAGGAGTGAGAGCAGACAAGGGCTGCCTGGGAGAAGGCAGCAAGCAGAGTGCAGTCCCCGTGCTACCTCCCCACGCCACAGGCCCTGCACCCTGCTCAGCCCCACAGCATCGGGGACACACCAGAACACCAGGGCCCAGGGGAAATGTGGGGCTGGCCAGGCTGAGCAGGGATTTCTCCTTGCAGGACTTTCCCATGGAAGAGGACTTGCTTTTCCCAGGGCCATCTGGCTGGGCTCCAGGAGAAGAGAGATATCCCAGCTCCGTTCGTGGGGAACCACACAGACCTCCAGAAACACGGCAGGCAGCCCTTGTGTTCCCACTCTTCCAGCAGTCTGCAGGGCGAACAAAGGCAGGGAAGGTGCCCACTGCCAGGGACGCTGGGGGACATGGGTGCCCTCCGGCTCCCAAGCCTTCTCACAGGCTCCCTCTGGCAGCCCTGGTCATGTGGCACACAGGGTGGATGCCGGCAGTTGTTCCCTGCCAGCAGGGATGCGTGCGGTGGGGGATACCATCACCTACACCTCCAAGGTTAGGCAAAGGCCAAAGGAAGAGCAAGCCATGCCATCCTGGAGCTGAGCCCGAGTGGAGACAGGGGACTTTCCTGGAGCGGATGCACCGGAATAAGCTCTTGTTCCAGCCTGGCCTGCAAGCATAGGGGCTGCAGGCACCCGCTGCCACGCTGAGGCACCTGCCCAGCCCTCGACAAGGGCATCTTGAGGGGACCCGAGGTAAGGCTGCTGGCAGCACCCCGGAGGACCGGACTGGCTGGCTTCTCCCTGGCACCAGGGCTGCGGGGGTCTGCAGGCGAGGGCACCCTGGGGATGGTCCCAGCTTCCCCGGGCCAGCCGTGAGTGTGCTGGGGCTGCTGGCGTGATGCCAGCAGGACCCGCACCCCAGAAACACTCTTCCTGCCTGAGGGCAGCGGCAGGGCAGGACGTGGCCATACAGCAAGAGCCTAGGGAGGCAGGGGAAGATGCTGGGGCTGGGGAAGCTGCATGTCCCCCTGCAGAGGAAGGCCCGGAGGGAGCCGTGTCGGTCCCCAGCACCATCTCCCAACTCCGTGGCCACAGGCTGTGCTTCCAGCCCTTTGTCTGCCTCAATTTTCCCATTCCACTGCCACCCGCAGCCTGTTCCCAGCCAGTCTGCTGGGACCTGCCCAGGGTGTGATGCAAGGCACCCTTAGCGCTGCTAGCCTGGCCCCAGGCTCCACACAGCCTGGATCCCAGAGCACAGGGTCCTGATTCCCCCCCAAGCACGTTGGGCTCCAGAGAGCTCCTCAAGCACCGTGACACCCAGCCCCGGGGTTGTTCCCTCCCTCCCTCTGCTTCCAGCTAAAAGCCACAAGGACACAGTGGCTCCAAGGGCCGAGGCAGCCCTATGGCTGGTTTCCTCTGGCTGCTCTGTTTTCCCGAAATGCGGGGCAGCTAGCTGCCCGGCTGCAGTGAGCTCAGCACCGGGAAGGCAGCTCAGAGGCATGATGCAGCAGCAGCCCCGCGGCCAGGCTCGGTGCCAGCACAGCCGGTGCACTGCACAGCCCCTGGCCGGCCCTGGGTCTGTAGGCAGCGCTGCCTGCAGGGCAGGCAGGCAGGGGTGCACACACATCCCAGGCTCCTGCTCCCTCAGGGTGGGCTGTGGTGGCCCCGGTTAGCACCAGTGCAGCCTGGTTCATGGCAGAGCCCTGTCTACACTGTGCCTAATGAGCACGGAGAGGCTGATGAGGGGAGAGGGCTCACAAGAGGGGCCCATCCTGTCCTGCTGCTGACAGCTGCCCCTGGCACAGCTGGGAGCGCAGTGGCATCATGCCCAGACCTCCAGCAAGTGCAGGGACAGCTGGAGGGACTCTCCTCGCAAGGAGGGGTCCTGGCCATAGCCCAGCTGCCAGGCACCCTGTCAGTGCCCCCGGAAGGCATTTTCTGTCCCTGCACCACAGCCCCTCCACCAGGAGTCCCGCTCTACTCTGCTCCAGCCAAATCGGTGTTCCAACCCGAACCCATCTCCCGGGTGCTCCCAAGCCCCCTGCAGCCCTCCTCACCCCATGTCAGGGTGCCTGAGCCCTGTACCTCTCTCCAGCAGGTCTGGATGCTGCAAAGGCAGACACCCTACAGCAGAGGAGAGCAGGCGCAGGCTCCCCTCCGCCTCCCAGAGCATGGAGCAATGATGGAGAAGCCCTGCTATGGAGCCACAACCTCTAAACCCTGCAGCGCCTACAGCTCTCCAGCCCTGCAGTGGGGACCCTGCTGGGGCACAGTGCCCTGGTCATGGCAGAGGCCCAGGGAGGCACCAGGAGCAGGGAGGGGGTGGCAGGTGCGTGGCCGGAGGCAGGGAATGAGTGGAGCATGTCCAGCCCTTGGCTTGGCTCTTTTTTTCCTTCTCCTGTTTGGTAAAGCAATGAGAAATCCAAACATTACCATAAATGCTGAAAGCATCCTGTCTCTGTCACGTGGGCATGGGTGCACACGCCACCGGGGGGGATCCAGGCACCCGCTGCGAGGGAGCCCATGGCCAAAACCGACCAGGCAGGGAGGGGATGGGGCTAGCAGGGAGCCAGCCGGCAGGACAGACCCCAGGCAGGGACAGACAGACAGACACGCACAGAACTGCCATCCTGTCAGCCCAGCCAGTGCTGCAGCTCGAGAAGAGCTGGATGGCACCAAGCAGCATCAGTGCACGCAGAGTGTGCCGGGACATGCCCCCTGTTCCGGCTCCAGCCCCAGCTCCTGCCCCGGCTCAGGGTGTTACGGGGAGAAAACGTAGGGGAAGGGGCAGGCAGCCGCACGAAGGGTACCCCAGCATCCTGCTCCCTCGGGGCTCCTCCCTTGCTGCCCAGGGGTGCAGTGCTTCCCTCCTTGGCCCCGCGCTGGCTGGTGCCTCTCGGGGCTGCAGATGTCTTTCCCATGGGTCATCCGCTCCGCTCGCTCTCCCCTTCCTTAAAAAGCCTTGGGCTCCAGGGCTGGATTTTCCTGAGCTTGTCATCACCGTCAGGGCAGTGGGGCTGGACCACCTCCTGGGGCACAGTGGAGCGAAGGCCAGAGACATGGGCAGCCCCGCGCCCTGCCCAGGAGCTGGCAGGAGCTGCTCTGGGGCTGTAAGCTCGGGCCAGGCCCCGGCCATGAGTTTATTCTGGGACATCCTGCAGGAAACCGCTTGGTGGGCTAAAAGCGGTGCTGCCCTGAACTGACCCTGTCCCAAACACTCCTGCCCCAGGGACCCCGCTAGCAAGCGCAAACCTTCCCCGTGCCAAGGCTGAGGCTGTCACCCTCTCATCACAGGTGTGGCCCCAGGGACCCCGTGGGTGGTGGTGCCCCCCGTGCTAATGCTCGGAACCAGGGCGAGGGGGCCGCTCTCAGGCCCCGGCCGTGCCCGTGCGTACCGTGTCCCGGCCGCCCTCCGCTGGGAGCGGGCCCGGGCTGCCCTGGCCTCCGCGGCGCCGCCACGGTTAAACGAGCGCCGCTAGCCCTTTAAATGCGCTGTAGTGGGCGGGGCACCTCCCCAGCCGCAGGCGCCCCACCCAGCAGCAGTCACGCCCCCAGCGGCCGCGCCCCCGTCGCGTCCTCCGAACCGCCCAATGGGCGGCGGGGAGAGGCGCGGCCCTCGCCGCCGATTGGGCCGGCGTCGCGCGGCAGCCCGAGCGAAGATGGCGGCGCCCAGCGCCGGGGGGCCTCTAGCGGGCCGCGGCTGACGGCGCCGTACGGGCCCCGGCGGGGTGCCTGGCCCGCAGCCCGGGCCCGCCGGCCGCCATGGACCTGCTGTTCGTGCTGCTCCGCGGCCTGCGGATGGCCCTGGACCTGCTGGTCCTGGTGCTGGACGTGAACTTCTTTCTGGTGTCCTCGCTGGTGTCGGCTCTGCTCTGGCTGCTGGCCGCGGCCTGCAGCCTCCCCGCCGCCGCGGCCGCCGGGGCGCTGGCCTGCTGGGACGGGCTGCTCCTCTCGCTGGCCTCCCTGGCCCGGGCGGCCTCCTGCCTGGCGGTGGGCGCCCTGCAGGGGCTGGCCGGCCTGCTGCGGGGCTGCTGCTGCGGCCTGGAGGGGCTGAAGGTGGCAGGGCACCTCCTCTCGCACCTGACGCTGCGGTGCAAGGAGCTGCTGCACCGCGGGCTCTGCGGCCTGCTGGGCTGCGGGCAGGCCCTGGCCAGGCAGGTCTGCGAGGGCCTGGCCATCGGCACCAGCCTGCTGGCCTACCTCGTCAACAGCCTCATCAACGTGTGCCTCATCGGCACGCAGAACCTCTTCACCCTGCTCGCAGCCCTGTGGGACTCCGTCGCCGGCCCCTTCCTCCGAGTCACGGACCTGCTGGCCGCTTTCCTCGCGCACATCTCCAGCGGAGCCATCGCCGTGTCCATCCTGCTGTGGTCGCCCTGCCAGCTGGCCTTCGAGCTCCTGGCCTCCGTCGCCGAGCTCTTCATCAACATCTTCTTCGTGAATATTTATGGCCTGGGCTTGCTCCTCCTCATTATTGTTGTCAGCGCCTTTGTCTTCAACCCTGGACTGCTGTGGACACTGACAGGCTACGTGCTGGGCTACTTCAACACGCTGCCTTCCTACCACCGCCTGCAGCGGGATGTGTGGCGGCTCTATCAGGTGGCGGTCCTGACGCTGGGTATGGCCATGACCTCTCAGGCCTGGCGCAGGTTGGTGGACTGGAGCCTGCAGGTGACCAACTGGAGCCGAGGAGGCAGAATGATGAACCAGGAAAGCAACCAGCGAGGGGCAGCTGCACCGGCCCCGAGACCCACAGTCCCCAGCAGGCTGGTGCTGGCAGGGGTCGGCCAGCTGCCAGCCGAGCACGAGGGCCAGCTGAATGTGGAGCAGGTACCACAGGCGCGTCCTGCTCTGAGTCGAAGTGCTGTGGCAGGACAGCGTCTCCAGCCGCCCAGGGAGGAACCGAGCACCTCCTGGGGCAAAGCTCCGAGGAGGCAGCAGCTGAATGCAGCAGCTGCAGATGGTCAGGGCACTCCGGATGATGACCCCTGGATGCTCCTGAAAGAACAAGAGGAACGTAAGAAATGTGTCATCTGTCAAGACCAAACCAAGACAGTCCTGCTTCTGCCCTGCAGGCACCTGTGCCTGTGTCAGGAGTGCACAGAAGTTCTCCTGCAGCAGGCCATCTACCAGCGCAACTGCCCGCTGTGCCGCCAGATGATCCTCCAGACGCTCAATGTGTACTTGTGAGCCCAAGGCGTGGGTAGCTTGGGTCATTTTCCCAGGAGGTCAAGGGCACCCCTGTCTGCCTCTTGCCGGGAAGCAGAACTTCCCAGAGCTGCCTTGAGCAGCTTCCAAAGAACTAAGGATGGTGCTGAAAGGGCAAAAGGCTGTTGGGGGGTGTCTGCTAGCCGCATTTGCTACGTAACTAGATTGTAGCTCTTGCTAGCAAGCACAATAACTGATCTCTGCAGCAGGCTGAAAGAGTTACCTTTTTTTGTTGACAACTTTTGCTGTTTAAGGGCCTGTTGCCTCAAGCCTGCAGCAGTCTGAGATCCAAAGTGGAGTGCAGAAAGATGCTCTTGTCCCTCCTAGCCAAAGCTGATGGAAAGGTTAAAGGCTGTGCCCTCTTGGGAATCACGGGCTGGTGCAAGGCAAAGGAGGGTTTTTCCCAAGGTCTGACCAGAAAACTACCTGGCATACTGCATTCAGGCCTCTGTTTCCTCCTCCCACCACCTAAGTGGGGGAGCTCCCTGGGAAGGAAGTGTGCCCCTTTTGCAAGGCCCTAGGAGACCAATGAGCACACTTGAGCTTTTTAGACTGTGCTTCCAGAGGGCTGAGCCTGGCTCTCAGCTGGAGAAGAGCAGGGCTTCTGGGGTACCTCAGTATCTCAGCCACTGTGGCTTTGGTTTTTGAGCTTCCTATTCCCCTTCCCAGGACAAAGAGGAGCTGAGATGAATGTGGGCTCCCTGCAGGCCAGCTGACTGCAGAGCTCAGTGCTGCTGCCGCTTCCACGCATCACCTATGCAAGACTAGCAAGCACACATCAGGTTTCTCACATGGGGAGGCTGGAGAGAGTTACTCTTTCTGCAGGGGCGGTGGTGCTGCTTGGGGAACCTAAGGGGTGGCTGGCTGGCCAGTGCTCACAGCCCTGGCAGCAGCAGCACATGTCTGAGCCAATGCTGGAGAATCCTCTCTAGGCAATACACATTTTCTTCAGGCTCAGCGTGCCATGGAACTGGGTGGTTCACACTAGTGCTTGCTTGCTGCTTCCCAGGCTGGGCCGGCAAGAGGGAGTAACTCTTTGGGAAGAGAGGGGACACCCCAAAGCTTCTGGGAGCCCACTAACACATTCCAGCTCCAGGCACAAGTTCTGCATATCCGTGCTGCTGATCTGCAGTTGTGTGCGTGGAGCAGTGCCAGGACCAAGGCTATCTTTGATTAGGGCAGGGTTACACTGCTGTTCTATCTTACTGTGTCAGAAATGTAGCTAGTTTTATTTAAAAAGTGTCCCCTGAAGTCTAAGGAGGGCATTTGATCCTGGCTGGGGAGGCCAGAGGTGGCTCTTCCCAGGTTGGTCAACCAGCACCATTCCAAGAAATTACTGGGCTGTGAGAGGGCCTTACACTAAACAGCTTTTCCTTTTCCAGCTGCTTGCCTGAGGTCAGCCATGCGCCACAGCCAATTTTGGCTGGAGCCAGACTGGAAAGAGTCTTGACTCCTGGACTGCAAGCCAAGAGCCTGAGGGTGGCTGGCATGGTCTTCCTTCTCTATTCTCCTTCTTGATTAGTGATTTGAGCCAAAACAGAGGCAGCAGAGAGGCCAGGCCATGCTGGGAGACGCCTCTGTGCTGGAAACCTGAGCTGTGGCAAGATACTATCTTGCTGGAGAGTGGCTTTGCTCCGGGAGGCACTGCAGGGGCTGGTTGCCCCCGTGTTTGCTGGGGGCTGGAGGGACTCCCTAGGCCAAGCTGGGCTCCTGAGCACTAATGGGTGTTAGAAGGGCCTGGCCCCAGGGCTGTCAGCTGCTTCCATCTCACTTTGCAGGGATGCAAAGCTCCCTGCCCAAGCCCTGTTACTCAGCCTCTTGTCCCTGTGCCTCCCCAGACACACACCACCCATGTTAATGTTTTCTCTCCAGCCACCTCTCCTGTGGCTGCAGCCAGTGACACTTGCAGTTGAGTAGCCAAACCTTTGCCAGAGCAGCAAATGTGGCCCCACAGGCTGTGTTCCCCAGGGTCCAGCTTGTTGCAGGCACTTGCAGAGGTCCTCCTGCAAGAGGAGCCAGGGAGCTACACCCTTCCCTGGGTGTGCCTCTAGAGACACCTGGGAGCAGGAGCATGGCCATGCTGCAGGCCGTGTTTGGTCGGGACCAGCTCATGGATCTTGGGGTGCAATGTTTCCTACATGAATTACAGGGGGGAAGGACACCTCCCCAGGACTGCAGTTTCTTCCCTCAAACCCTTTTTCTATTATAGCAGTCATGCTTATTGTTTTAGGGCCTGTTTGTTTGCTGCCTGTTTATAAAAAAAAGAGGAAGCTTTGCCTTAAGTTTAACTCTTTGCACTATGGACTAGATACTGAGCAGATTAAAATTTCCTTTACCAAAAGCTGCCTGCTGCCTCATTCTTGGGGAGGGTTTTCTCTGGAGGGATGGGGTCTCCTCTGCCCCTGGGCTCCAGAGGAAGCCAGCCCATCACTCCACACCAGGGGTTACGGCTGGAAGGCCAACACCACCAGCAAGCTAGGCGGTACTTGTCTGCGGGTGCTTGCACCCAGAAAAGCAGTGCTGTGGAATACCCTGGAGCCAGGCTGCTGCACAAGAAAAGCCTGGCACCCAGGAGATGAATCTACACCTGAAGACACAGTGGGTGGGCTTTCCAGGGCTGGCATCCCCCCAGCCCCTGCTCTGCTAACCCACAGCAAGAGAGGAGGTGGTTGTGGATATGCCGATGCACGGGGGCAGAGAATGCAGCTTGCAAGGCACCAGTGCTAATGTCTGCATCTTGCCTGGAGATGCATTTGGTGCCGCAGGCTCTTCTGGGCCCAGGAGCAGGCAGAGCAGCTGGGGTAGCTCTTGCTGGCAAGGGCCCAGGACTGGTGGGCATCTTCTCTCTACTCCTAACTCAGGTCACTTTGAGCTGTTTAGCAAGGAGAGAAGCAACGGCTGCTTCGCAGAAGGGCTTGTACGTACAGCTTCACCTCTTTTCAAGAGCAGTTCCTCTCTGTACTGGAGCGAAGGGATTCGTTCTCAGGTTCTCTGGAGCTGGAGCTCCCCAGGGCCTGAGCAGCCCAAAGCAGAGGGATTAGTATTTCCTAGGCTGGCAGGAACATGCACAGGGACATGTAATCCCTGCTTCCACATGACCTCGGCACCTCGATGTCCTGCTGCTCGCGATGGAGGGTGCTGGCGAGCCTGACTGCCCCAGGTAGGGAGGCAGCACCCAAAGCACTAGGAGTTGTGGAGCAGCAGGCAGCACAGGGCTCTGTCTTGCCTCGCAGAAAGGCTGTGGCAGGCTCAGCCATGCTGGGCTACTGGTGAGCAGATGCATTTGCTGCACAATGAGTTACTCCCTGGCCATGATCTGAGCTCCTGGCAGGTTGCTGCATGCTTTTAAACACCCTCTGCTTCTCTAGCATCCTTGTAAATTGTGTGGAAAAATGTTTTGGGACCCTGATGGGCAGAGACCCCAGGAGTTCTGGCTCACCCTGCCCTGAACTCACCTGCCTTGGCAGGGTCACGCCAACAAACTAGCTAATTGTAACCAGGATGAAAACCGCAGTGGGGAGAGGGGGGGCTGCTAGGAGGCCAGAAAGAGACAGACATCTGCTGCAGGAGTGCAGCTCTGCCAGGCATAGTGCAGGCACGGGAAGGAGGGCCATGCCGGCAGCCCGCCCAAGCCATGTGGGAGTCTGTCTGCAGATGGGTGACAGCTGGGGAAACTGAGGCACTCCTCAGCCTTCCTCTCCGTCTCCCAGGGTGTGTAAGCTGAGGCAGGCTGGACACCCCGGGGGGGGGGGCTGCAGAGCTGCCCTGGGGCAGGGGGGCTGGGCCAGCAGGGGAACATCTGCCATTCCCTGCAGGGGCAGGGTGCTCCCAGCCCACCACCCCTTAGCCAGACCCAGTGGGGGACTGAGAGGGTGTTCAGCCATCTCAGGCCACTACGGCCGAGCCTGCCAAGAAAGGACAGGATGTGAAGGACACAGCCTTCCCCCGGGACCCATCCTGCACACACTTGGCTCACTCGCTGGCCAAGCAGCCAGCAATTACAGGAGGAAAATGCAACCACCTCCTAGCTAATGGGCAATGCATAGGGTCCCCGAGACTGATGGTCAGCCATGCCAGACTTGCCTGCTCTGGCACTGTGGCTTTTGGTGCAGGGCTGCACTGCCTGGGGAGGATGTCCAGCAGCAGCAATGCTCACAGACCAGCCCAGGGCATGAGATCTGGCGTCCCCGGGGGTACTCCCTGCTCCAGAGCTTGCTTTAGAGTCTCACGCATGAGCTGAGTGGGCTGGTCTCAGCCCATGACAATGCCAAGACACTTCTCTCTTTCCAGAGGAGGGAGGATCATGAGGCTGCTAGGTTACTCCAGTTTAGGAGCACTGGCATGGTTGGGGCTGACAGCTTGCTGAAACCAGGGGCCCCCATGCCCTGGGAAAATCCCCGGGATCCCTTTGTCAGCCCAGCTGCAACACCCCAGCCCTAACAAGCCGCTAGTCCCAGCCTGGGGACAACAGCCATCGTCTGCCAGACAGCAGGGAGCTGGCATGACAGACACTCGCTGCAGATGCGCAGCAGCATGAGCAGCTAATGATACCAGGCCGTCAGGGAGGGAGCAGGTGATGATCAGCAGCCGAACCGCGGGGGGCCTTTGGGCTGCTCCTGGGCACCAGCTTTGCTCCCTCATTAGCAGCTTGGCACAGGGAGCCACACTGGCTCCCTGAACACAGCAACAATCCCAGCACCTCAGAGGCACAGTGCTGAGCGTGGCAAGGCCTCAGGGACACAGAGCGGCTGAGGCTGGCAGGGACCTCGAGATCATCCAGTCCCCTGCTCAGGCAGGGGCAGCTAAAGCAGGTTGCGCAGGACTGTGGCCAGTCGGGTTCTGAATATCTCCATGGGTGGAGACTCTACTACTTCTCTGAGCAGCCTGTGCCAGGGTTTGATCATCCTCACAGTAGAAGGTGGACAGCCCTTTGCTGGACTCTCTCCAGTATGTCCATGTCTTATATTGGGGAGCCCAACACTGGACCTAGCACTGCAGCTGTGCCTGATCGGTGCTGAACAGAGGGGAAGGATCACCTCCCTTGAGCTGCTGGCAATGCTCCTCCTAAGGAGGCTGGTGGCCTTCCTTGCCATGAGGGCACACTGCTGGCTTGTAGTAGCCTTGCTGCCTGCCAGGATCCCCAGAACCTTCTCTGGGAAGCTGCTTTCCAGTCAGTTAGCCACCAGTGTGTGCTGGTGGGTAGGGTTATTCTTTTCCAGGTGCAGGACTTGGCATTTCCTTTTGCTGAACTGGCCCTAGCCCCACCCCTGCATGCTCAGACAGGCTCCTTATTCCTCCTAGGTCAACACAGATAACCCACCACCTCCAATTCCTGCTTGTTGGGATGAACCGCTTGAGTTTGGAGGAGCTGGTCCTTGGTCCTCTTGGATACCCCTTCTCACCAGGACATGGGATTGTCCCAAGCAGATCCCTGAAGAGGCCAGTGTCTGCATTCCTGAAATCCAGGGTTGTGGTCCTGCTTTTTGTCTTTCCTCCTTCTCTCAGAATCCTGAGCTTCCCTGGCCAGTCCTTCCTTCCCTGTGAGGCCCAGCAGAGCAGCTCTCCTCAATCACCCATGCCCACAGTTGTCAACATGCTCCAGAAGCCTTCTGGGCTGCTTGTGCTCTGCTAGGCTGTCCCTCCAGCAGATATTGGGGGCATTCCAGCTGCCCACAAGAACCAGGGCCTGCCGACATGGGGTTTCTTCCAGATGCCTGAAGAAGGCAAGCTGTGTGCTGATCTGGTGGCATGTAGCAGACACCCACATGGCTGCCTGCTAACCCTGACCCATCATCCACCCCTCAGCTGCCACATCAGCCATCATCTCCAAGAAGCTGCAATCCTGTAAGTGCTCACAGCCCACCCCCCCACTTGCCCGCTTCCCAGCGGGCCATGAGAGCTTGTCCACAACGCTGTCCTGCAGGCACTGCCCTATCTGTGCCCCTGTGATGAAGTGACCCCACTTCAGTCCTGTATTGTTGGTAACAGAGTTCCTGCTGTTCACCTGCCCCGAGCCCTTTGTTTGCCCACCCCATCCCCACTTGAGTGAGGATTTTCCCCTCCCTTGCCGTTCCAAGTTTAAAGCTCTCCTTACCAGGTCAGCTGCCCTGCTGGCAGAGGTCACCTGAAGATGACTGGAGAGTGTTCCCTGCACCTCTCATCAGCAATGAGGGCACTGAATATACGCCATAACAGCAAGCTTTTGGGTGGAGCAGAAGCCATCCTCCTGCTGCCAGGAGTCACCAGGACAACCTTCACCATTGAGGGTGTTTCCACTTTTGAACCTGGCAGGTGCGTGCTCTGCGCCCATAGTGGAAAGTTTGGGCTCTTGTAGGGTCTCAGAGATGATCCAGTTGATCTCTTTCATGCCCTCTCTGATGCCACACAGCCTGCTGACCTCCTCCAGCAGCTCCTCCACTTGGCAGCACAGCTCCAGGACGTGTACAACCGCACACTTCTTGCGGGCTGTCAGCCAGGTGCACCAGCCCCAGCAAGAGGCCCCAAGCACCCTCTGCAGCTCAGGGCTGGCCAGGCTGTGTCCTCCAGCATTGCAGGAAGAGTTGCTCCAATAGCTACTGGGAACTGTGACTTTCGTGTGCCAAGGACATGTGTGCTGCTCTGAGAAGAGGTGCTGGCACTTTTTTTTTTTTTTTAAAAAACACCAAACCACACAAAACAGCTTACCTTTCTGCACAAACTGCTGCCTCCATCAGCTGCACTACAGTACCTGTGAGCTAAGCCTGGCTCTTATATAGGCTTCTGCCTTACACTGTCTAAGGGATGCTGGCCCCTCCCTAACCTGGGCTCAGCTGGAGCAGGGGCTTCAAGCACTCCTTCCTCAGAGGCAGCTGGCAGACCTCATCAGAATCAGCTGGAGCTTACTAGAAACTTGCCAGAAGTCAAGGTCTCCTGTGGCTCTCCTTCCCTTATCCTTGTCATTTCCTTATCCTCTTCCTCATCCTCCCCAGGTGGCAGCAGGCACACCCCCATGTTCCCCAGAGGGTTCCCAGCAGTCCCCCAATGGTCCCTGACAAAGTGTCCAGAAGACCAAGAGCATCTCAAAGAAAGTAGAGCCCAGAAACTGCTGTGCCAAGTGCTATGTCTGTGGCTGCCTCTGTTAGCTGTGCTCCCCCACACCATGATAGGGACCAGAGGATGCTCCCAACCCCCCTCCCCCCCAACCTCTCCTAGCCTTATCTCAAGAAAAGTAATTTTCCTCCTCCCGGAATAAAGAGCGCCAGCCAT